GAATGCAATCCCTTGCATGCTTGTAGTGACAGTGGAAAGGAAAAAATCCCTTTTAACAGGAAGAAACCTCCAGCAGAACCAGGCTCAGTGTGAGCGGCCATCTGCTGAGGCCGACTGGGGTTCAAGGAGACAGAAGCAGAGATACAAAAAGCAACTGCAAAAGGCGGCCCCGCCTAGGAAACACAGAGCCAGGCAGACGAGCTCCGAGCCAACTCCCATGTCAGAGGACGAAGAGAACACCCCTTCCACCTCTGCATAGCACCAAGTACTGGAGTGATCTGGCGCTTTGACATGTCAGTCATCTGGTTTGGGGGCAATCAGACACCCTCTAACTAAATCCAAATCTTCTTGTGTGGAAGTTTTAATTACATTTTTTAAATCCTGGAGATGTCTAGTTGCATAAACCATATGTGAACATTACATCACCTCCCTTAACCTTTAGAACTGGCTTCCTCCTATAGGAGTTAGATGAAGTACTGCAATGACTACCTTCCTTTATGAGTCAAGGGAATTAGAGGCAAGCTGACTTCTAACCCCTCAACACCTAATATCTAAAAAAGAAAGAAAATTACTTTCTTTGTTCCTTAAAATGTTTTTGTAAAGAGAGCAGAGTTCTGTTAAAGCAAGAGAGGGAGTAATTAGACAGGAACTGTAACCCATGTACACAGAGTCATCTGTGCATTTCACTCCTTCCTAGTCAATGAGGTAGTTCCCACAAGCTCTGTGGTGCTGTCCAGAGTACTGGATCAAGTCTGATTTTAATGACTAATGGTACAAAAAGTATTCATTTCTACCAGATGACCTATGCAGAAGGTCAGACACCAGGAGAATGAAGCTGATTTGGTGAAACTCCAATTTCTACAATGCAACAGTACAATGCAATAACTTGTGCAATTATAATGTGCAATTTACTATTTGACTCCCAGTTAAATAACTATATATAGAAATATAAATATCCATCTATATAAATACCAATGTAAACACCCTGTGCAAAAAACCCTATATAATGATCTTACTATTTAAAAAAAAGCTGTCATATGTGGACCTATTGTATATAATGTATATATCCCATGCACCGTTTTCTTCCTTTGGCATGTGGAAGAATGTGCTTCTTCTTTGACTATTTGAGCTGATGTAAAAAGTCAATTTATCCACTGTGAGATCAATCAATCAATCAATCAATCAATCAATCAATCAATCAATCAATCAATCAATCAATCAATCAATCAATCAATCAATCAATCAACAGGGGTGAGGGGTTTAAGGAAACATACCGACTCAATTAGCATAGTTATATCTTTCTTTTTCAAACTTTTCCTTATTGTTTGAACTAAACTTCACTCAGACACCATGAAAAATTAGAGGGACATTGGTTATGGAATACATTTACATTTATAAGTATGTTATTTAATCAGATTATTTTGGACTGTCTTATGTTATCTGTGAGGATATGCCCAACTGGCTGGTGTGAGGACAACAAATGAAAGTGTGATTCATGCTGAAATCATCTCGGTTAAAAAGACTTACCTAAACTAGTGAAACTAAACTAGGCTACTGCGTATATGCAGAAAAAGACATGAACAAGGTTGAGAAGCATAATCAATGAAATGATGGCAATGATATCAAAGTATGGCATGGATTTTATGTTTAAGAACCCACATTTAACTTAAAGAGTTTGGAATGAGGTCCACAGCTTTCAAACTAATTTAGAGCAATTCAAATGTGTTCAAACCAGATCACGATAGATATCATACAGACAAATAAAACATTATTTGGAAACATAATATTTTATTAAAGGATTTGCATAAATCAGAAATCAGTAGTTTAGGGTAAAGACCACCTAGTTCCCAGTGACGGCTGGTGGAGTTTTTTCCAGGGGGGCTGTAACTTCAAAATAGACCTATAACAAAAAGGGTATCACACCAATATACTTACATAAATTCCAGCAACAAAAAACAACACTCAAATTTTCTGAAAAGTGTCACATGGAGAAGTACTTGCCGTACTTTCCGATTAGCTCTGCGTTTTGCTGGACAAGGGTGCAGTAGTGCCTATAGGCCAGGGGGCTTTTACTCTTTTTATTTCCTGGTCCTCAAGAAGACCAGGGATCTTGGTCTGGCTCTAGACCACAGAGGACTGAACACTACCTGATGGACATGCCATTTCGCATGCTGATGACCACAAGGGTTTTGCAGGCAATCTCCCTGGGTGAATGGATTACGTCCATGGACCTGAAGGACGCATATATTCATGTCACCATTGGACAGATTCACCTGTGGCTTCTCCGTTTTGCGTTCCAGAGACAACATTTTCAGTTCAGGGTCCTTCCCTTTGGGCTCTCCCTATCTCCCTGGATGCTCACCAGGGTTGTGGCAGCAGACCTTGCAGGCAAAGGGAATTCGGGTCCTGCCTTATTTGAATGATTGGCTTATTTATGCCCAAGGTCAGGCGGTTTGGGTCACTCATTTAGTGTTCTCCCACATGCATAAACTGAGTTTGAAGGTGAACTTAGAGAAGAGCAGCTTCACCTCCTCCCATGTGACGTGTTTAGTAGGTGTCCTCCTGGACTGTCTCCATGAGCGCCCAGCCTTCCCTGCAGTGGGTGGCAAGTTTTTGGCAATTATGCCCAGGTTCTGACGTGGCACACCGTTTTCTTTTCTTCTTCAGCTTGCCATTGCACCTCCCCCTCAACGTTGACCTCCTCTCACAAACGTAGGGTCTAATTCTTCATCTCGGCCAGCTCTATGCCGGCCATCTGTGATGTGTTCAAGCTACTCTATTGATGCGCCTTTGGGAGTGTTTTGAAGAGGACTGAAGCTCCTATGGTTGTTGCAACATTTTAGAGAGCACAGCATTTTGCTTCAGCAATGTTCAGTGTTAATATCAGCAAGGACATTGGTCCCCAAAGTCCAATAATTAATATCATGTGTTATGGTATGAATGTTTTCCTTATCTGTCCTCCAGGGCAGCCATGTGTTTAGTACAATCCCTATCTAAAGTAATTGAACATTCTTTCCTCATTTACATGAGAAAAGATCTTCCTAAAGACATGATGCTGCCTTTACTATGCTCAATGATGTGTTCAAGGTGATGTACAATTATTTTTTCTCACAAACAGTTGTGCATAACAGTCCTACATTTTTGTTTTTTCCGGTCACCCTCCTCCTGTGTTCTCTACATGGCGTGCAACAAACCGTAAACAGAACTTCTAATTGGATTTCTTGAATTATTGGAATTCCTCCCTGCACTTTTCCATAATGGCCTCCTGTTACTCCAGTGGTATCCTGGGCCACCTGGCCTTTTCTCTAATCAGTGCTATTGTAGGCTGGTTTATTTTGACAACCATGTCTTGGAAGGCTTGCATGAATCAAAACACAAAACTTGTCAATAGATACAGAATGCTGAATGGGCTGAATTAATATTGCAATGTTTTTATGACACACTTTCATCACCCAAAGATAGTATTAGAACCTTCCGCTTGTTCCTTAAAACTGCATAAACACAGAACAAAAAAACATTTAAAAACAACATTGACACACTTTCATCTATTGCTTAAAAAAACAATCAGATTGATATTGCTTGCCTTCTTCTATATTGGATGTATTGCACTTTTCTTCATGATTTTTCTACCTGAATTGATTTGTGATCAAGTGTAGCCTTGGTTTGTTGAAACACTTCTGTTGAACAAACTGATATTTTAGGAGTGTTACAAAACCCCTTGATATCAAATGATCAAAACAAGTCATTTTCAAAAAGCCATTTATTTTTGACTTTAGCTGTGCAGGATAACACTGTGTATAAACAGAAATAATACTTTAATTAAGGGTTCAAAATATGCGGTAGATTGCTTTTTCTACATTCAGCTTGCAGAGAATGATTCTGTTTTTTTATCATTTTGTTTTGGAAGTGTGTGCACATTGTAAGAGGCTTCTGTTTTAGGACAAATTAAAGCAAGAACTGCTCTGCAGCACCATCCCTCTGCTCATCCTGTCTCTGCTGGTTTACTGCCAGGTGCAGATCTGCAGGTTTGCCAAGCCAAAGGCCCGACCTGCTGTTCCAAGAAGATGGAGGAGCGGTATCAGGTGGCCGCACGCAGCAACATGGAGTCAGGTCTGCAGGTTGTCAGCGCTCATCTCAAACGTCTCATTATCCAGAATGCTGCAATATTCCAAGGTAAGCAGATCACATACTGATCCTAACTGCCTAGAAGCATTGCATAAATTCAAATCAATGCAGCCATCCCTTTTTTTTTTACACAAGCCGCTTATTCTCTGGGGAGTCACATATTATCAAAGTAGAAGCACATGCAGAGGTTAGACATTCAGCTGCTGTTTAACTATATGTTAGAATGGCAGACATGTGTGGTTTGAGTGACTTTAGATGTAGTTCTGTCGGCCCTGGTCGTGTTTCTCCTGAAAGTGACAGCCTCCTGGGATTTGGCAGGTTGCAGTCAGAGAGTGCAGTGTTTTTCACTCAGACAGCAGAGCTAGTCAGCAGCAGCCCTGGAAGCGTGGATCAGAGTGGCCACCAGATATCGGTATGTGCGGTTAAAGCTACCAGATGCATGCAGAATGACAACATCCTGATGTGAAACAACGTGGCGTGTCAGAGATGCTGACGTTCAAGCTGTGCAAGCTGAGAGTCACACTTAAGGTAAAGGAGGATTTCTGTTAGAGGGATGAAAGAGCATTGAGTGACACCTGCAGGAAAAATGACATGGAGTCAGAACACGTTGTGACACCAATATCGTCAGAATGTACTTAAAAATACAGCAGAATTTATACATACATAACAGTTCAGAAGAATCGAGATTTAGTTTGTAACGATGTTTCGTATAAGGTTTGATCCTTAAAATAAACTAAATCTAAACTTAAGTCATCAGGAAATAAAGACTGTTTTTCCATTTCTGAAATGAATTTGGTTTCACAATGCTCCAAACTAAGTGGACAGTAAAGAACTGCCCGGAGATTGGAAAGACTAAAGCAGTGAAAGCAGACGAAGTCAATGCCTGGATGGATAGACTATTCAACTTGAGAAAGGTCAATAATTATTTTTAGAAATATTAAAAGGTCAAATAAATCAAATTTCGAAATATTGACGTAGCAGCTGTAGAGCTAGACACTAATTCAATATCAGTGTATGTATTGGGATATCATTTTTATTCCATTATGGTGATATGACATTTAAACACTATTCAGGTATTCCAATTTATGTTACAGTCTATTGCAGGAGTGGGAAATTCCAGTCCTGCAACTTTTAGACGTGTCCCTGTTCGAACACACCTGAATCAAGTAATTAAATTAAGATGACTCTGCAGAAATGGACTGCATACTGATGAGGTAATTCAGTTATCTGATTCAGGTGTGTTGGAGTAAGGAAAAATGTAAACTGGACTGGAGTTGCACAAACCTGGTTTATGTTTACAGTGAAGGTCAGGTAGCTGCTGATTTAAGCCTGGCAACATCTCCGTTACATTAGTGATGATGGACATCACAGACACGGAGCCTGTGGCTGCAGCTGGAGGCAAGCTTCAGCAACAAAATGAGTGCCTATGATAAAGTGTTTGCCCCTGTTTTTGATAACATGTATCTGCCCGCACAGGACCGTCTCTAGGTTCTTTGGTGTCCAAGGCGATATTGCCCCATTGCATCTGGACATGACTCAAAAGTAAATTTAATTGACAAAAGGTCAGAGATACTGTATTAATCGCAAGGGTTTTTGAGAGGAAGGATAAACTGCTGCAAGACAGCCTGATATAAAATCATTGTTCTTGCTGTTAACTCGTTAGTATACAATTTTCTTCAATCTTTACAGTCTATATACCTCTGTTTTTGTCCTGTTTTTCTGTCCAGAGTTCTGTCTTATGTTCTTGAAAAGAACACAGGAAAGTGTGAATTAGGGGAGAACGGGAGCACACAGCATAAATATGGGTCAATTGGAACAGAAGTGTACTCGTGACGTCACCACACGCTCGGCTCGTCTGGAGCTGCATTTCACCTCCTGTTATTAATAGTCTCTAGAAAATAATAAATTCTTATGTTTTTTTCATTTAGTGGGGAAATAATAGTTAACACAGTCAGATAAACACAATTTAAATGAACTTTTTGCCAAATCAAACAAAAAAACGCCATCAGAGCATTGCAGTTAGCCCTGGCTCCTGTGGTTAGCCTCAGAGGTCCACTGGTTGCCGCGGTCCTCTCAACATTGGAACTTTTTTAGAATTACACACTAAATCATTAAATGGGACTTATAGTGAAGCTTAAACATATAACGTTCTCTCCTCAAACAGTCCTAAAACGCATTTTTGTAGAACATCAGCAACAGAAAAATGAACTTCTAACTTAATACTCTGAGCTCTATTAGCACTCCATTTGGGGCTGCTTCTGCCGCAGTGCATGCTGGGACAGCCGATAGTCTGGAGAATGGTCAAGTCTGCTCTGATGCATGCTGGGCAAGGAGGACGGACAGAGAACAACATCTGGGATTTTGTCCGCTCTGTCTTGTGTTCTTGTGAATTGGAATACTAGGGCTGAGGCTGATGATGTTTTACAAGCACATGAGCAATTTTATTTAGTCAGGTGTAGATGTCATCTCTCTGCCTCCAGCTAATCTCCGACCACAGAAATACGCTAATTACTAAGTAATTACAAGTAGTTAATTGAGGGTAGATCTCCTATGCTCAATGAACTATTTGCAACTAAGAAGTAATATGGTTGCCCCAAACGTTTGTTTGACAGAACGTATAAAAACAGACTATCAACTTAGTGCCATCAACTGTAATGTTCCTCTCTGCAGCTACCTGGGATGGCTCCAAATACATCAACGTTCCGAGTGGTTACAGAAAATGCAGTAAACACATTTAACCTTTAATATCAGCTTAGTGCAATTTTTTAAAGATTATTTTTTAGTTTTGCTTTTATTTTATCATTTTTTGGAAAGTATGCAGACAGGAAAATGGGTTACTAGAAAGGGGAAAGACTTTCAGCAAAGGGTCAGAACGAATAGGACTTGAATCTCTACCTCCATGCCACAACAGCACCCCAGCTTAATACAGTTTTTATTATGCACAAGTTTACAAAAAGCATGAACTATTTGTTTTTAAATCATGTTAGCTCTATACCACTTTTCATTTCACCATTAAATAAGACTGTGGCCATTTTGGACAAAACATGATGAGACATTTTTGTAGTTCTGATATTTGGATAACCTGTTGTCCCAGCTGTACCTGAATGCAGCATGCTCAGTCATTTAGAAAATATTTTCTTGTTGGAGATTTTGATTACCCTCTGATCTGGTTAATGTAGGATGTGCAGAGTTTGTGCTGATTGGATGAGATATGGATCCATTTGGATGTCAGCTGACTTATCTCTCCAGTGCCACAGATGTTTGAATTAAAGCTTGACATAGTTTTAGGTGTGTAATTTGCTTAAGGGCAGAGCGAGATACGTTATTGTTGCGGAAAAATTGTTTTGTTTTTTTCGGTCCACCTTTTTTCCTTGTGTGTCGCTGGATCCAAAACATTAATATTTGCAAATAGCAATATTATTGATGACTGGGAGTCGTTTTTGATAGGGTCGGTGTCACTGCAGAACGTAGCATTGTCTGCTTACTTCCTCTTAGCTTTAGTGTTTATTTTTCAGGGGGGAAAAGTAAACGCATTACTAAAAAATAATTTTCTTCTGCATTTCTTAGATAAACACAATAAACTCAATTATCTGACGTTATTTCTAACAAACCAAAGACTTTTCTACTATACACAAACACAAGAATAATTTAATATGGTGACACACTGGTCCAAAATGAAAGCGAACAGCAATGTTTATTAGATTACTATTTTGATTTCTTTAGCAAACACCCATGTGACATTTTTTTGAACTCGTCTCCGAGAAAAATAAACTAAATAGTTGTCTGGAAACATTATCTCCTATACACATTTGAAGAACTGCAGACAAACATCAAACCACAAACTGGATACATTAGAGAGATAGAATAAAGTCTCACATCAAGTGCAGATAATGATCTGCTAATGTTGGGTTAGACATTCATAATGACGTTACTTCCTTTCTTCCAGGGATGATAATTGTTTTTATGTATTTCCTCTTCAGGGATTTATACAGCAATATCAGATAAAGATATCTGGGTGATTGACAAAACAAAGGAAACTGGTTCAGAAAGAAAACATTTCTTTTGCATTTTAAGTTTAAATTTGAAAATTCAAGGAACATTTTCACACTATTTGATTATTATAGCAATACCACACACATACAGTATATATGTACATATATCTATATATTTATATATACACATATATATAAAAGTTATATGTACACATGTAATTTCTATAACTTTAGAAAGTATTGTATGAGATTTTTTTTGATGTAAAATACTAATTTTAATCTTTATTATATGTAATCTTTCCTCTTGAGCAAAAACTTTAGATATAATTTTAAACTTACAGCTTGCTGAAAAGCAGACATGATCCTGTTTGCTTTGATGCAGTCTGACTTCAACTCACCGCCCCACCATGGACAGTTCTCCCTGCTGCTCTCTGGCTAGAGGCTTTGCAGCATTCAATGCAGAAACAGCAGGTTCTGTAACAGCTTTTCCCCCGTTGCCATAAGACTGTTGAACTTTTGAAACTCTAATCAAATCACAAACTGAGACTCTGCATCACAGTAATATCATTATACTTGCACTACACAATAGAATAGACAATAGAAAATCCCTTTATTGTCCCACAATGGGAAAATTCTGTTGTTTACAGCAGCAAAAAGATTATAGAAAAAATGGTCACACAAATATGGACCTTAGAAAAATGTATAAGAATAACATAATAGTGAAGAGTTAAAATATAAACAGTAAAATAGTGTACTGTGAGGTGTTTTAACAATATAAAAACTGCCCCTGGAGAATAAATAACTAATATACTGCTATGGCAGTAATTTACAGTAATGGATATTTGATTTTAAAGTGGTTTTAGAGTCTTAAAGCTGCTGTGATAAGGCTCCCTGGTGCATGGTGAATCTTCAAAATAGAACTCAACTCCGTATTTTTACTGCATTTTGCACCATATCTATTTATTTATTTTGCACTGCTCTGAACCTTCCACATCAGTGCCATTTGCACCATGTCTCTCCTTTACTATATAAATGGAAATTATCATTTTCATTGCT